ACGTTCTCTCCAGCATAGACTGTCATTGGTGTTTTTGATTTTAGCCATTCTGGCTGGTGTAAGATGGTATCTCAGAGTTGTTTTGAGTTGCTCTCTTGCAAGCCTTGTGACTGCTGAAGATTTGACACTTATGAAGGCACAATGGTGCTAATTGGAGTCTAAAGGCATAAAAGTTTTAAGATGACATAGGAAAAAAATTTCTGATGAAACTGCAAATATACAGACTGAGATCAAATGCATGTGCCATGAATATATACAAAGGGGGAAATAAAAAAGAGACACAGCACACGACTTGTAAGAATGATATTATAATCTTGTACCTATTGTATGTGGTAGGATGTAATAGAATGGTATTCTATTAGTTTATATAGAAGTTTTATGTGTATGTATTTGTATACATTATTTCATCTGGTTCTCACTAGAAGCCTTGGAGCTAGGTGAATTGATGGAGTTTGCTAATTCTATTGCCCTGGACACAGTTAAGAGTCAAAGGGACTAACCTTTTCAAGGACAGCAGGGCTGGGGATGAGGAAGCAGATATAACAGCCCTTCATGATGGACACAAAGCAAATAAACATACAAAATAAAACCCATGGAGCCAGGAATCAGTGACTCCAGACACCAGTGTTCTCCATTAAGTCTGAATATAGATTCTAGTTGTTTTTTCTTGAACTCTCCAGTGCTGGGGGAAGGGGAAGGATATGGTATAAGGTGTTGTTTGAAAGAAGGGCTAGGATAATCTGGCTCATTCCCAGGCAATTTTTCAGGGGCCAGTAGAGACCAAGTAGCCAAAGCCAGCCACAGAGATCAAAGTAAGGTGGTCTGAGGAGGCATTGAAATCTGGGATCCCGAAAAGAACACCACAAGGAAGCTGGACCCATTCATGTAATGTGTTTTGACAAAATCCCAACACCCAACTAAGAAAAGGAACCAAGAGAAGTTGCCCTAGATGGCCTGTGCCTTTATCAGTCTCTGCCTCTTTTCAATAACTATGTGTACTCCTGCTCCTTTTTGATTCTTACTTTGCAGACATTTCAGACTGCCTCAGACATAGCAACCTAGCAACTTTGTCCCTATAGAAAACTCACCGTGTCGTTCTGTCATTTCTAAATCCAATTAAGAATTGCTTTTCTGGTTTTTGCAACTCTTCCTGGGTTTGCTCCACCTTCCTCTCCAGATTCATTTCTCCTCATCTTCATCAATCTGTCACCCTCAGCTCCACCCCCTCATTCCACTTCTTGGCTTTTCAGGCAGTTACTGTGTGAATGAGAAGACTGTGAATTTCATTTATCACTTGTGAAAAGTCTCACGGGAACATATTGCAAAGCCTCCCTCACAATCTACAGAAAGGGACAGACTGTGCAAGAGACACCCTAAACATGAATCTCTAAACAGGGAGGATCCCCAAAATATCTCCACTAACAAGCAAGTACTGCTGTGTTTAAAAAAGAAAAAAAAATCCAAACCCACAATAAAAATTTGCCATTGTTCCACAAATTGCTGGATTCCCTTTAAAAGGCAATTTGTGAAGTTTAAAAGTCTGCCACAAGGCACATGGGGAGGTGAGTGAGAACACTACCCCGGTGTACGTCACACCTCAGAGCAGACCTGACAGTTCAAGCATCTGGTGTAAGACATACTTTCTCACAAGGGCTGGTACCTTAAGTCAGGTTCCTTCCCAAGGCTATGACAGATTGATGAATTCTTAATGACTCCAGGTGACATATAAGTGGTTGGTTCTCAGAACACTGCTTTGTATCACTGCCCACCCCCACTCCACACCCTGCTCCAGGCAACAAAACTGAATTAATAGATGACTAGCATCTAACTTGCTGGCAGGAACACCAGACAGTGGAGTGCTGGTACTGCTACACTGGTATTTCATAAGTGACAACACGTCACAAGATACACAGAGAAAGAGAAAGGCACACTCAAATGCCCAACTCAAGGGCACACAGGATTCTATCTGAAGGACCTTATTGGAGATGGAATGGAGAATTCGGTAGAAAACTACTGCCACCATGTTAGGACCATTACTGATTAACATTGAGTCTTTTGTCTTCAGAACCAGGTGAAAAGTAAGTTTCACAAGGGCCTGAGTATGAGCTACTCCATCAAAGTAACATATTAAGGCATGTTTGCTGTGCCATAATCTTTTTGCACACTCTGAGGATGTGTCTTTGCCAAGGCACCTTCAGATTGGTTTAATAAAGAACTAAATGGCCAATAGCTAGGCAGGAGGTAGAGTTAGGACTTCCAAGCACAGAGAGGACTCTAGGAAGAAGAAAGACAAAGAAGTCATCCAGACATGGAGGGATGTCTGGATGAGTGAAGAGGTAAACATAGATTAATAAAAACATGGATTAATTTAAGTTATATGAGCAAGTGGAACAGGCATAAGTTAGGCCAAGCTTTCATAACTAATAAGTCTCTGTGTCAATATTCAGGAGCTTGTTGGAGGGACAGAGGAAAACATATTATATAGGGTGTCCAATGTATGAACTCGAATACCCAAACTTAGGGGCTGAGAAAGCTAAGAAAATGTCTGGACAAGGAGCCTGATGTGGATTCCTAGTCCTGTAGTCTCACAAGCAGGCTGGTGGTCTTTGATGTACAGAGACATTGCTCCTGAGCTCTGGCTGCCGGCTGAAGCCAGGTGCCAGTGCCATGTGCTAGTGCCATGAGCTAAGCTAAGAAGCCCAGAAGTTGGCATAGCAGTTTAAGATTTATCTCATGGGGTCAGAGAATGTAGAGGTGCTTAATAAAGCCAGGGCCATATACAGAAAACCTCATAAAAGGTCCAGTATGCTTAAAGTTTTGCTTAGATGCTGAAGAAAAAAAGAAAATGGGAATAGATAGTCACAGAAAATAATAGTTTAAAAGTAATAAAGTCTTTAAAGACAGAATAAGGTAATACTTTTTAAAAGCCACATAAGGATGGGAAATACACAGGGCATTTGGATCCTGGATGGTGTTTTGTTGACTTTGAAGTTTTGTCTGCTAATGAACAGAGAATGACAGCTGCTGGGAGACACTGGACTGTGGAAAGGACTGCTGAATTAAACCAGTCTAGATACTTTAGGGATGTCTTGGCTTCAAAACAGGAGTCATACAGTGTGTTGCATTGGAGGAACGGTTATGCTTTTGTTTCCATGGATTTTATTCCACTTGATTTTTTTTTTTGTAATGTGAAATCCAGTGTAGAGTGAAGTGTGTACTTACAGTCTCTGAATCAGGCTATGAAGAAGATCTTTTAATGAAGGATCTGCTTCTTGTGGTTTTGTGGTATCAAGTACAATAATGAAAACTAATCAACTTCTGCTTCATTAAAATGTAGGAGCCAGTGGATAAGAGCACTTGCTATGCAAGCATGATGACCACAGTTCCAATCCCCAGAAGCCACGTGAAAAACTAGGCATGGTAGTGTGTGCCTGTAGGCCTAGCTTTGAAGAGCAGAAACAGGAATTCTGAGAGCTCACCGGCCAGCCACCAGCCTAAATGAAACAGCAAACCTCAGGTTCAGGGAGAACCTTTCTCAAGGGAACATGACAGAGAGCCAGCTGTAAAGGAAGACCCCTGATTTTTCCCTGTTATCTGCATGTATATGCATAGGTGCATATACAATATTCACACACACACACACACACACACACACACACACACACTGAAGTCCTGAGTGCATGTGTAATGTTGACATGGGCATGAGCATGCCAATGACATGAATGTCTCAGCTCCATGTGAGTGGCAAAGACTTCCCCCAGTGAGGCTTAAAAACATGGTAAATCCTTCCTCTGGTTCAAGGTCAAATATTAACACTGTGGTCAGAAATATCCACTATAGCTTTCTTATCCCACCACCACCATCAAATATTTATGACCTGAAGACTGCTCCTTTACAGGGACTGCTCCTACTGAGTTTAACTAAACCTGATTCTCTGGTTCAGCTGTGTACCATAAACCCTGGTTCCTTGTTCAATTGTGTATAACAAACAAGCTGAGTTTTGGAGGACCAGAGGTGCTGCGGTTTCCCTATCGAGAGCTGTATCACCTGATCCCAGCTTTTCTCTATGTATATCTGCCATTTCTTCATTCCCTCAATACCTGTTAGGTCAATTCCTACATATAATGCATTAATGCACTCATGTTTGGGCATGCCCCCTGCCTTCATTACTACTCTATTTCTCGATAGAGAAACCATGACCATAGCAACTCTTATTTTTAAACAAAAAAGCATTTCATTGGTGGTTTGCTTCCCATTTTAAGTTAGTTCATGATCACCATGGCAGAAACCAGACAGGCATGGCATTGGAACAGTAGCTAACAACTTTATGTACTGATCAACAGGCAGCAGCAGCTGCCATGCACTTTTGAAAACTCAAAGCTCACCCCCGGTGACATGTCCTCCAACAAGGCCACACCTTCCAATCCTTTCTAAACAGTTCCACTAACTTGGGCCCAAGTATTCAAACATATGAATCAATAGGGACCATTCTCATCCAAACCACCACACTTCCTTAATATTTGTTTCTTTAGAGAATGGATTTTGTTGTTGTTTTGGTTTATGTTTGTTAGTTTTCAAGACAAGGCTTTTCTGTGTATCCCTGGATGGTCCTGGAACTCATTCTGTAGAACAGGCTGGCCTTGAAAATGATCCCAGAACTTTGATCCCAAGTGCTGGGATCAAAGGCATATGTGCTGCCTCCACTGCCAGGCAATATGTATTTCTTAAGAGGTTGCAAGCTCGTCTAGCTTCATGTTTCCTCTAATGCAGGAAGCACCTACCTTTCTCCTATTGCCCACTACTCTTCTGATTCGCATTTGGCTCTCCATTACATTTTCCATTCTAACATCCCACTGGAAATAGATAGTTTCATAATTATTAAGAAGTAGGTGGGAAGCAAGATGGTGGACCTGCAGAATGAAAAACTGTGTGCCTAGAAACAGATTTTAGGAGTGATTTCTCCTCACAGTATCTTTTTTTCAAATCACCTGATGAGGATCATGGCAACAGCAGTAAAATGGGTGACAACAAACAGAATTATCTGGAAACCTTTATTTCCAGTCCAAATTGGAGCTTTATCTAGTGTTTGTCGTAAATCTACATATTCTTCTCTTCCAGATGACTACAACTGCAAGGTAGAGCTCACTTTGACATCTGATGGCAGTACAACAGTGTGCTACCACCTTTCTGTGGACATCCCATACAAACATACCAAAGTATAACAAATGTCATAAGAAACTGAATCCTCTCAAAGACAGGTGACTGTTCTTGATTTTCGGAGCATCAAGGAGAGTTTGTATCTTACTTGTCAGCTCAGAAAATGCAAATGGTGTACTCATTAAGATGTCATGCAGAAAAATAATAAAAAACCTTTCATATGTTAAAAAAAGAAGTAGATGATGTGTGAAAATGGAAGCAAGAATCTTAGAATATGGCATGTTTACAATAGACCACATAAAACAGAGTGGGAACCCCAAAATCCAAATTTGGTTTTGTTGTTAGTTGTCGTTTTAGCTAAACTCAAATCCATTTCTCAGCAATAAATTATTATGGAGTTATTTCATCCAAATTGACAACAAAGTAATAAATAGACATACTAATGCTATTAACTCATTTTTAGTATTAAGTAAAAAAAAAAAGCTGTGGATAGACTTGATAGATTTCTGTTAAGTGCTTACAAAAAAAAAAAAAACCTTCAGGAACAGAAAAGGTTTAATTTGGCTAATAAAATAGACAAATATTAACTGATAAAACAAAAATGAAATTGCTCCCTTAGTTCATCAGTGTTTCTCTTTAGCAGGGGGATACCCAGGCTCTACTGGCTCGGCTGTAGCTGCTGGGGAAGCATATGTTGTCTGGCCTGAAAAAAACCTGCTTTGGTATAGTTTACTGATGGTGATTTTTTTAATTTGTTTAATGCTGAGATTTACAATGAAGAAATGATTTTCTTTCCCTGAAGAAAAAGAGGTGTGATTGTAAAATGTGAACACCAGACCAAAAAGTCCAGACCCCAAGGAAAAAGAGGAACCAGGAGTAGGTGGCTTCCCTGCCCAGACAGGCCAGAGAGAGAGAGCTGCTGAAGGCAGGGCCATCCTTCAGGGAGAAGTAGCAGGCTGAGGGTGACCTCGACTTGGGGGGAAGGAGAAGAGCTGCTGGGAGCAGAGTTACAGTGGAACAGCTTATGGAAAAGTAACCTGCCTGGCTGAGGCGAAGGTATTCTAAAAGGACACTCCCCATCCATCAGACTGTTGAAACAACAGATTCTGAAGAAATAGAATTTATCCTGGGAATCTCATGATGAGAGAAGGAAACAGCAAGGGGTGAAGAGTAGGGAGGGGCAGGGCTGACGACAGTGGACAATGGGACACATCCGTCCAGACACCTGACTACCTCAAAGAGATTTCATAACTTGTCACACTTCCAAGGCGGGGCCACACCTTTACCAGAACTGCTTAGATATGCATAACCTGGGCCCTCTATTTAAACTTTGATCTCATTTCAGCACCAACTCCAGATGAACTTGGGAGTTCCTGGATCTTTGTCCCTCTTCCCAAGATGGTCACACTGAATAAATCTCCTTTTTCTGCTTCTTCTTTTACCTTAGTTCTTTTAATTCACTTATTGAGGCCTGGCGGTGGTGGCACATGCCTTTAATGGGAGGCAGAGGCAGGTGGATCTCTGTGAGTTCAAGACCAGCCTGATCTACAAGAGCTAGTTCCAGGACAGACTCTAAAGCCACAGAGAAACCCTATTTCGAAAAACCAAAAAAAAAAAAAAAAAAAAATCACCTATTGAGGATGGGTGGCCAGAATGACTTGGGTGACAGGCTGTGACCTTCCAGTTTTGATAGCAAAAGTAGAGACAACTTTTCTGAAAGAGCAGAGGCCAGGGGTCCCCAGATAGGAGGCCAGGGACCAGTCCAGGGAGCTGCTTACAGATCAAGCCCTCTGTCCTACCCCCAGAGTTTGGAGGACTGGAATCCTCATTTTAATCCATGACCACAGGTGATTTCCATTCGGCTCTTCAGAAACCAGGTTTTTAAAAGAAAACAACCCCTGGACTGCACTGCAGCATGTACAATTACAATCACCAAGGTGTGTGACAATCTTGAGAGTCATAGGGTTACATATCTTTGTATTTGGTTTAGCAGTTCTTTAAAAACCATGTTTCAGGCTGGCAAAATGGCACAGCTGGTAAAGGCACTTGCCAACAAGTCTGAAGACAGGAGTTCAATCCCTGGGACCCACAAATTAGAGATCACTGAAAATTGTGTTCTAGCCTTCAAATGCACACACACTGTGACACCACACACACACACACACACACACACACACACACATACACACACACACACACACACACACACACACACACACATAAAAAATTAAAATATATAAACAAAAGACTTGCTTAACATGAATGGTGGGAGGCTCACAAATGCCCCACCCCAAGCTGATTGGCAGTTGATGCAGCTGTTAGAGGAAGTGGCAGCTTTTTCGAGGCACATGGCTCCTCCAACTTTGCCCATTCTCCGGTGGACAGCTCCAACCCCCATGAGCATAGAGGCAGCTCTAATTGGATTCTGTGGACTGTAGAGCAAAAGAAAAGATTTGATATTGAACAAGGTTATGGGGGAAGGTTTGGGAGAAGTTGCAAGGAAGAGAGAGGGGATTTCATAAAAATACATTGTATACATGTATGAGATTCTCAGAAGGTTAGATAAAGGAAAATTAAAACAAACAGAAAGCCTTGCTTAATCACCTCTGGGGGCCAAGAGTCTGTTCTTGGTGGGAAGATAGGAGGTGGCCCACAGACGTTCAGGAGATAAGGGCCTGTGGGAACCCAGCCGTTCTCACTGATCTTCAAGGCTATCCTTAGAAGAATAAATTAAAGCTTCATTTTTATGGAAGAGATAGCAGGTATCTGACCCAGATAGAACACAGGTGTAAGAAAGGGAAGCCTTCGTCTCCCAGGACAGTCTCACAGCTGGACAGAGAGGCTGCAGCTGAAGCTGACACATCCGTTGAGTATCCGGCTCAAATTGTCCCCTGTATCATCTTCACTGAGTGTTGTGATAAACTTGTAAAAAAAAAAAAAAAAGTTTACCTATGATACCAAATTACTTAGGACTATTGAATTAAGACACTTAATTAGGTATTGTGACATCTTGTCGGGTAACAGGACCTGCTGGGGCGTACAAATTTCTAAATAGCATTCTCTCTTCAGAAGAACCTCCAGTGTTTGCTGCTGGCAGCCATCGTCCATGCCAGCTGCTTTCATTCTTGTCCTGCTATTGTTGGTTTTGTTTGGGGACTATGTTGTGGAGACAAGGTCTCATAAATCCCAGGACAGCTTCAAACTCTAAATAGGGCCTGGGATGACCTTGAACTTCTGATCCTCCTGCCACTCACTACCTGCTTGCAATACAGGTTTGCACCACCACACCCAGATGGATGTGTTGCTAAGCAAGCTCTCAGAATCAGAGCGGCAACCCAAGCCCCATATTTGTTACTTTCATTCTTCAAACATAAAAGGTACATGGAGAGAGACACCCACTTCTGCTACTCTCAGTTATCTAGAAGTAAAATAAACTGACCTATACCCAAGCCTGTTCTTGAGCCTGAACTATGCTAAGCCTGCGTGGGGAACTTCAGTGTGAACTTCCTAAACCAGCCCTTAGCTTCTTAAGGACCAGTTGTAGGTATTGCCATTTCTTGAATGGTTTGCAGCTGAGGAATGCTGCATAGCATTGTTTGTTGCTGGTATCCTTTCCTATAGCTCCCTCTAAGGCACCTTGGGGGGTCTGTCTGGCAATGGCTCAAGAGCGCCATCTTGGGTGGGGTGTGGAAGGTCCCATTTGCATTCCTCTCTTTCGAAGGTAGAAAGAGGAGTTAGTTCAAGGCTAGCCTGGGCTACATGGGACCCTGTCTCAAAAAGCCAAAATAATAATAATAATAATAGTCTTTTAAATATGTGGCTGGAGAGGAGTCAGTGGTTAAGAATACTGGCTGCTTTTCCAGAGATCCCAGGCTTGATTATCAGCACCCACACGCAACTCACAGCTGTCTGTAGCTCTAGTTCTTGGGGATCCAACACCCTCTTCTGGCTTCCTTAGGCAGCACAGATACACATGGTGCAAAGACATGCATGCAGATAAAACATTCAAGCACATAAAATAAATAAAAATAATAAACGTTTAAGGAGGGTGGGGAGTCTGTGCATGATGTCTCACACCTTTGATCTCAGCAGAGGTAGGTGGATCTCAGTGAGTTCAAGGCCTGCCTGGTCTACATAGGGAATTCCAGCACAATTAGTGATATGTAAAGAGCCTCTGTCTAAAACAATAATAATTAATTAATTAAATTCATATTCTGTTATTCTTGCCTGTGAGTCAAGGATTTAGTTAGCAACAGCAAATCTAATTGCTAGGTTTCAAACTTGGAATGAATGGCTGAGGTGCCGTGGAGGTGGCTTATCTTTAATGCCAGCACTCAGGAGGCAGAAGCAAGCTGATCTCTGAGTTTGAGGCTACCCTGGTCTACAGGCAGGGCTGTTACACAAAGAAACCCTGTCTCGATAATAAATGAAGTATCAAAGTTTGTAACGATAAGTGTTTCTACCAGCCGCCCAAGCCCTGCCACCACACGGGTACTTTCCGACAGCCACCCGAGTTCTGCCCACTGCATTCAGTGTGAACTTCCTAAACCAGCCCTTAGCTTCTTAAGGACCAGTTGTAGGTATTGCCATTTCTTGAATGGTTTGCAGCTGAGGAATGCTGCATAGCATTGTTTGTTGCTGGTATCCTTTCCTATAGCTCCCTCTAAGGCACCTTGGGGGGTCTGTCTGGCAATGGCTCAAGAGCGCCATCTTGGGTGGGGTGTGGAAGGTCCCATTTGCATTCCTCTCTTTCGAAGGTAGAAAGAGGAGTTAGTTCAAGGCTAGCCTGGGCTACATGGGACCCTGTCTCAAAAAGCCAAAATAATAATAATAATAATAGTCTTTTAAATATGTGGCTGGAGAGGAGTCAGTGGTTAAGAATACTGGCTGCTTTTCCAGAGATCCCAGGCTTGATTATCAGCACCCACACGCAACTCACAGCTGTCTGTAGCTCTAGTTCTTGGGGATCCAACACCCTCTTCTGGCTTCCTTAGGCAGCACAGATACACATGGTGCAAAGACATGCATGCAGATAAAACATTCAAGCACATAAAATAAATAAAAA